TTGAGGATGATATTTGCTGTGGGTCTTTCATAGATAGATTTTATGAAGTTCAGGAATGTTCCCTCTATTCCTATGCTTTGAACCATTTTAATCAGGAACGGATCCTGGATTTTGTCAAATGCTTTTTCTGCATCAATTGAGAGGACCATGTGGTTCTTCTCTCTTCTCTTATTAATTTGTTTTATCACATTGATTGATTTGCTAATGTTGAACCATCCTTGTAGCCCAGGAATGAATCCTACCTGGTCAAGGTGGATAATCTTTTTAATGTGCTGTTGGATCCTGTTTGCTAGGATGAGAATCTTAGCATTCATATTCATCAGTGATATTGTTCTGAAATTATCTTTTTTGGTAGGGTCTTTGCCTGGTTTGGGGATCAGGGTAATGCTGGCTTCATAGAAAGACTCTGGAAGCTTTCCTTCTGCTTCAATTTTTTTAAACAGCTTCAGGAGAATAGGTGTTAGTTCTTCTTTGAAAGTTTGGTAGAATTCCCCAGGGAATCCTTCAGGTCCTGGGCTCTTGTTTTTTGGGAGGTTTTTGATCACTGCTTCAATCTCGTTACTAGATATCGGTCTATTCAGGTTGTCAATTTCTTTCGGTTTCAATTTTGGGAGTTTTTAGTTTTCCAGGAATGCATCCATTTCATCTAGGTTGCTTAGCTTATTGGCATATAACTGTTGATAATAACTTCTGATGATTGTTCCTACTTCCTTGGTGTTAGTTGTGATCTCTCCCTTTTCATTCATAATTTTATTAATTTGGGCTTTCTCTCTTTTCTTTTGGATGAGTGTGGCCAATGGTTTATTGATCTTATTGATTCTTTCAAAAAACCATCTTCTAGTTTCATTGATACGTTCTACTGTATCTTTGGTTTCTACATCATTGATCTCAGCTCTAATCTTGATGATTTCCCTTCTTATGTGTAGAGTTGGTTTGATTTGTTGTTGATTCTCCAGTTCTTTAAGGTGTAGAGACAGCTGCTGTGTACTGGATTTTTCAATATTTTTGAGGGAGGCTTGGATGACTATGTATTTCCTCTTTAGGACCACCTTTGCTGTATCCCATAGGTTTTGGACTGAAGCATCTTCATTCTCATTGGTTTCCATGAATTGTTTAAGTTCTTCTTTGATCTCCTGGTTGATCCAAGCATTCTTAAGCAAGGTGGTCTTTAGCTTCCAGGTGTTTCAGTTCCTTTGGAAATTTTCCTTGTGATTGAGCTCCAGTTTCAAAGCATTGTGATCTAAGAATATGCAGGGAATAATCTCAGTCTTTTGGTATTGGTTGAGTCCTGATTTGTGACCCAGTATGTGGTCTATTCTTTAGAAGGTTCCATGTGCACTTGAGGAGAATGAGTATTCTCATGTTTTAGGGTGGAATGTTCTGTATATATCTATGAGGTCCATCCGGTCCAATGTGTCATTCAATGCTCTTGTTTCTTTATTGATTTTCTGCTTCGATGATCTATTTCTGAGAGAGGCATGTTAAGATCTCCTATTATTAATGTATTCATATCAATATGACTCTTTATCTTGATTAACAGTTTTCTTATGTAATTGGCTGCTCCCATATTGGGGGCATAGATATTTACAATTGTTAGATCATCTTGGTGGATAGTCCCTTTAAGAATGATGTAGTGTCCTTCTGTATCTCTGACTACAGTCTTTAGTTTAAAATCTAACTTCTCTGCTATGAGAATCGCTACCCTGGCCTTCTTTTGAGGCCCATTGGCATGAAAGATGCTTCTCCATCCCTTCACTTTCAGTCTGGGTGTATCTTCAGGTTCAAAATGGGTCTCTTGTAGACAACATATGGATGGGTCCTGTTGTTTTATCCAATCTGCAACCCTGTGTCATTTTATGGGCACATTTAGGCCATTCACATTGAGAGTGATTATTGATAGATACGTTTTTATTGACATCGTGTTACCTTTGAAGTCTTTCTTTCTGTAGATTATCTCTATATTTCTGTTCAATGGTATTCTTAGGATTTTTCCTCTTTTATAGAACCCTCCTTCATATTTCCTGCAGTGTCGGCTTGGTGGTTGCGTAGTCTTTTAAGCCTTGCTGGTCTTGGAAACTCTTTATCTCTCCATCCATTTTGAATGTCAGTCTTGCTGGATAAAGTATTCTTGGCTGCATGTTCTTCTCATTTAGTGCCCTGAATATATCTTGCCAGCCCTTTCTGGCTGCCAGGTCTCTGTGGACAGGTCTGATGTTATTCTGAAGGGCTTTCCTCTGTAAGTAAGGAGCCTCTTTGTCCTAGCGGCTTTCAAGAGATTATACCTAAAATTATGATTCCTCAATTTGACTATCAGGTGCCTTGATGTTTTTCTGGAATCTATAATCTGGGGTGGAGACCGTTCGGCCTCTAATACATGAACGCTGGTTTCATTCGGGAGATTAGAAAATTTTTCTTGAAGAACTTATTCCACTATATCTTCTAGACTTCTTTCGTTCTCCTCCCCTTCAGGGATTGCAATAATTCTGACATTGGAACATTTCATGGCATCATTTATTTCCCTGATTCTGTTTTCATGGCTTCTAAGCTGTTTGTTCCAGGCTTCCTCCTGATCCTTTCTCTCTATCTGTTTGTCCTCCAGATCACTAATTCTATCTTCTGTCTCAGTTACCCTAGCTTTGAGAGAATTTAGATTAGATTGGAACTCATTGAGAGCATTGTGAAACTCATGCCTGGTAGCTTTCAGCTCAGCCCTAACATTGTGAACATCAACTCTGGTCGCTTTCAGTTCAGCCCTAATAAATTCCGTTTGGTCATCCATGGCTTTTTCCAACCTAGCTATTGCCTGGTAATTGTTAGCCTGAATTCTCTTTCCGACATATTGTCTATGTTGATAGCCGTTAGCTCTGTTGCAGAAGGCCCATCCTCTGTATTTTTCTTCTGTTGGGCATTCCTCCTCCTAGTCATTTTGGTGAGAGATGGCTAAATGCATCTAGCTGGATGTATTGACCATGGTGCAGTCAAGGTGCACCCTGGAACGCTTCTGAGCAATCAGGATTCCCCACCCAAATGAGAGAAAAAAGAAAAGAAAAAGAAAAAAAGAGAGAGAGACAGGAAAGAAAGGGAAGATAAAAGAGAAGGTTCAGCCCAAATGGGCCCCAAGGTAAGATTTATGAAGTATACAAACAAAAACAGACAAAAAGACTGATAAAAGTATATGACAAGAGAAAAAAAATATGTATATATATAAGCAAATAAAGGAAGAACCTCATCAAAAAGAACCCCAAGTGTAAGATTTATATACTATCAGGACAAACACAAAAACACAGAAACACTGGTGGAAGAAAAAGATGGGAGAGTGGTTATAAATTCTCAGTGTGGGTGAGGAAGTTTGTTTTGATTCTTCCTGGATGTATCTTGATATCTTTGTTAAAGGACTCAACTTTCCTAAGATAAAGGGGGATTAAAAATTGGTTTACCTATAGGGGTAGCATTGATTCGGGAAAGGGGAAGTTTAACTCTATATGAATATTAGAAAATAAAAGTAAAAAAGGGATAAACTAGACTAAACTAATATTAAAAAAAAGAAATTTAAAAAATAGAAATGCAAAAGAAAAACACAAGTGTATGTATCAAAAAGTTCAGGTTAGAAGGTTATTATGGAATTTGATGTACTGGACATCTCACTGTGATGGTAAATAGGTTAAAAAATTATCTATATAAAAAAAAAATGAGCCAGGATAGTGGGAACGAATTAAAAATAAAAGTTGTCCTATGAAGTAGTGGTGGTTGTTCTCTTGTTTTTGTTTTTGTTTTTTTCCTGTTTGGTTTTCTGGGGGAGGGGCCTGCCATTGGGTTTTCAGTCAATGATATTCTCTGAGTTAAGTCCTCCCACCCCCCTCAAGGGGGTGGGCTCTGAGAAAACTGTTTTTTTCAGACTTTTGTTCTCTGGAGGTTTTTATGTTTGTTCACTTTTTTTTTCTCTCTTGCCTTGACCGCTTTTGATGTTTTTTTTTTTTTAGGTTTAGAGGAAAGCAAACTGCACCCTGACCTCCCTTTCAGAGAGAAGCCTCAGTCTGGCTGCAGAGCCCAAATAAATTCCCCCTTGGCTGCTGGCAGAGCAGGTTCCTAGTTGTGGTCCCTGGGGACGCAGGATTTTTTGCTTGTACCCAATACTACGGCAATGGCGGCTGTCTGGGCAGCTCCAGACCGCCAGAGAGGTTCCAAGCAGTGATCGCACACTGAGATTTTCCCACTGGTCTGGGCTGGGAGTGCCTGGTCTTTCCGGGTCTGAGAGCACTGGGCTGGTGCCTGTGCACACCTCTCTCAGGGGAGGGAGCAGGGAGCGACTCGGACTCTGATAGCAGGGCACAGCACTCGTGTGGGGACTGCAAAAAGGCTGTGTTTATGCCAGCTGGCCAGGCTCCCAGCCCCTCAGGGGAGCTAGACCCCACAGGCTCTCAGGCGTGCTGGTGGCTCAGGGAGCAAGACCTGGTTTCTCAGCTGCACTCTCTCTGGCTCTGTGCCAGGGATGGCTCTCCTGGTTCTGGGGACTTAAGCCCCTGTCCCTAGCCATCCAGATTCCCACAATTCCACCGCCCTCCCCACCGCGATCCTTTGCTCTTTTTGAGTGCTTTCTACCAGACTCCAAGTTAATGCTGGTCCCTAGATGCAGGGCACTCTCGTATTGGGATATTACTTTCCAATGGGTCACGTCTGGTGGCTCCCTCCCCCTTTTGTTTATCTTCTGATATCAGTCCGAAGTTCCCACTCTGCTTTACTTGCCCACTGGTGTCTTCTGCTCCTGTAGAGATCCAGACGTGTACAATTCTGATCTCAGGCTGATTTCGTGGGTGATCAGAGTTCTTTGGAAAGTAACCAGCTCACTTTAGGGTACAGGTTGAAAGGATGCCTCCTCCTACTTCCCCGCCATCTTGTCTCCCCCCCCAGAATTAGAAAATTTTAAAAAATAATTACTTGGAACCACAAATAATTAAAAGAAATATAGTAAAAGATGCATAAAAAAGCATTCTGGCATCTGTGAGAATTTTTTTCTCAAATTATGATATGTAGTTCTCAATACTTTCCAATGATTACTGTAATAGCCATGAATTTCTATTTCAGCTGAATACTTTGATATATTTTCCTTCTTAAAACACTGTAACTCATTTCTTCTTCAACAACTCAGTCATTTCAGTAACTACCTTAAATAAATCAGCAACTATTCCATAATCGGCCACTTGAAAAATTGGAGCTTCTAGGTGTTTGTTAATAGCCACAATTGTCTTGCTGTCTTTCATCCCAGCTAAATGTTGGATGGCTTCAGATAGTCCTACAGCAATATAAAACTCTGGTGGTACTATTTTCCCCATCTGTCCAACTTGCATGTCATTGGGAACAAAGCCAGCACCAACAGAAGCGTGAGAAGCACCTACTGAAGCATGTAGTTGATCTGCCAAATCATACAACAACTTAAAGTTCTCTCCGCTCTTCAAACCCCGACCACCAGATACTACCACTTTGGCACCAGTAGCTCTGGTCATTCACTTTTGGTTAATTTCTGGTCAAGCCACTCTGCTATCCCCACTGGGGAATGACTTAATGCCTTTTCTGAACTGGCACTACCTCCACTTGTTGCTGCAGCTTCAAAAGACGTTCCTCGGACAGAAAATACCTTCACTTTCTCATCACACTTCACTGTACATAAAGCATTCCCTGCATAAATAGTTCTCACAAATGTGTCAGGAGACTTGATTGCAATGATGTCAGAAATTGGAGCAACATCAATTTTGGCTGCTATCCTGGGCAAAAGGTTCTTTCCAAAGACAGATGCTCCCGCCCAGATGTTTGTGTAATTGAACTGCTTCTGAGTTGCCAGAATCAATGGCTTCAGCTCTTCTGGAAGGAAGCCTTTGTATGTATCGTGCTGAGCCACCAGAACTTTTGCTACACCTGCTACTTTGCAGAGATCTTGTACCACCTTGTTGATGAGGGAGCAGGAGGCTGGTTGAAGACAAAGCAAAAGCTGGCACCTTGCACCCCCTCTCCATCCGTTCCCCTCAGTAATATGTGTAGCATTCCTCAGGCACCCTTGACCACCATAAGAAACAGTTAACTTGCAGAGATCACAATCCTGCAAGACAGAGTCTCCCTTGGTTTACAAATGTTCTAGAGATCTACAGACAAAGAAGTTACCTTATTAATAGCACAATTTCCAGAGGCAAATAACTCAGTTCCTCAAGCTCTAAAGTTAAATTTCTTCTAAACCCAAATCTCACTAACAAAGACGCTTGATAGCAGAAATGTGAATGGCTTGCCAAAGGACAACACTGATCAAGCCACAAGGCCTCTGGTATCCAGGCACCTTGCAGGCCCTCTTTAACATATGAGAGTTCCGTTGAAACCTCCCTTCCCCTCACTATCCCCCAACCGCCAGGTATATAACCTGCCATCTCTCACAACCCTGGGCAGCAGCTCTTCCTGCCCATGGGTCCTGTTCCCATGCTTTAATAAACCACCATTTTGCACCAAAGATGTCTCAAGAATTCTTTCTTGGTCATCGGCTCCAGACCTCAGCCCACCTAGGTTCTAGAACTTCATCATTGTCACATTTGGTTCCAGCTACTAAGCAAGACACTTCACCTCCAACACGTTTGGCTACAGTGATGGTATTTAATGTAATGGGTGCTAGGGTATCATTTGCATGCTCAGCTATTACCAGGGTACTTCAAAATTGTAGCAATGAGGCCGCCCCCCAGAGCTGCCCTGGAGCCGCAGCTCGGAACATGGTCTCCGCTCCCGTCCACCTCGCAGCAGCATCAGTCTTCCAGCAACCTGTGGCCGAGTGCAGCTGGGTCGCCTCTGCGAGTCACTATAACTAAGTGTCTGATTCTTGATTTTAGCTCAAGTCATGATCTCAGGATTGTGGGATTAAACCCCAAGTCAACTGGGTATTTACCCCAAAGATACAGATGCAGTGAAAAGAAGGGCCATCTGTACCCCAACGGTTATAGCAGCAATGGCCAACATCGCCAAACTGTGGAAAGAACCAAGATGCCCTTCAACGGACGAATGGATAAGGAAGATGTGGTCCATATACACTATGGAGTATTATGCCTCCATCAGAAAGGATGAATACCCAACTTTTGTAGCAACGTGGACGGGACTGGAAGAGATTATGCTGAGTGAAATAAGTCAAGCAGAGAGAGTCAATTATCATATGGTTTCACTTATTTGTGGAGCATAACAAATAGCATGGAGGACAAGGGGAGTTAGAGAGGAGAAGGGAGTTGAGGGAAATTGGAAGGGGAGGTGAACCATGAGAGACTATGGAATCTGAAAAACAATCTGAGGTTTTTGAAGGGGCAGGGGGTAGAAGGTTGGGGGAACCAGGTGGTGGGTATTGGAGAGGGCACGGATTTCATGGAGCACTGGGTGTGGTGCAAAAACAATGAATACTGTTACACTGAAAATAAATTTTAAAAAATTAAAAAAAAAATAAGTCAGACTCTGTACTCAGCACCAAGCCTCCTTAAAATGCTCTCCCTCTGCCCAACTCCCTCCACTTGCACTCATTCTTCCTAAAAATAAATAAATACAAGAATGAATGAATAATATTAAATAAAATTAAATAGGAAAGCAAGGGAAACAAATAGACAAACAATAAAATTTGCAGGCTCACACCCTATTTTTACTCTATTCTAAGACTTTTTAAAAATTTCCATTTTAGGGACATTGTGGTACTGAGTAAAGGATAGGTTAACATAACAATAGAAGAGAATACAGAGTGCAAAAATTGACCTAAATATGATCAGATAATCTTTGACAACTTTCTAAAGCAAGTCAATGCAGAAAGATATTTCTTTTCAAAAATGTTGCAGGAACATGTGGGTGCCAATATGGGACAGGGTGGTCAGAAAGGGAATGAATAAATCAGCCTACTGACAGGAGAAAAGTGGTCAGTACAATGGGAACTGATGGCAGATCTCCCCTCAGTGGTTTGCCTACATTCCTTTCCCCATATATATTCCATGGAGAAAATGTATATGATGACAAATTTCTCTGACCCCAGTTAAAATACCTGTGTATGCATCCTAATAATTCTAGTCTTTCCATGGAACACTTTCCCTGTACCTTACTTCTTTTATGTAAATGTTAAATTTCCTTAGGACTTTGTATCCCTATAAGATCCTTCAACAAGTGAATCAATCCCCATTCTGAAGGTAAAGGAAATACTTTTGAGTGATTTGTCAAAAGTTGTACAACTAGAAAGTAGCACAAGGAATTTCACTGCTCACCCTCAGACAAACATCCCCCTGCCCACGTGACATCCCCAGTCTGGGCTCAAACAGAAACCTCAAGTCTTACAGTTTTGTTTCTGAGTTTTGATTCTCTACTCCTCTGCTTTACTCTTACCCCCAGAGCTACTTTTTTAGAAAACTTCTCCATCTCTTTGAATGGCACCTTTCTTCACATGGTTGCTCAGGACACCAGGACATGACTCTTGAATCATCCCTCTGATACCTTCCTCCAGCTCGTGAACAAGCCTGGCAGGTCTCTCTTCAAAATACATCTTGAATCCAGTCTCCTCTCACACTCTGTCTCTTTCTTTCTTGCCCAGTCTTCCACCATTTCTCATAAAAACAATTCAATAAGCACCTTCTGGTACTGCAGCCCTACCCCATTGGCCACCATGATCATCCATCTGCCAAACTCCTTCCAAGGCACAAATCAGGTCATGCCCTTCCTTCAGTGTTTTCCATCATAGAATGAATTCTAAATCAAGTACCATGCCCTCTCATGTCCTACATCACCTGATACCTGATTACTTCTAAGCCGTCCTTTCCTACCTCTCTGCCATTGTGCACACTACTGCACTCCAGGGGCCCGCCATCCAATCAGTGGACATGAGAAGTGCCTTCAATTTTTCATGGCCTTAGCATTTGCTGCTCCCTTCACTTGAGACATTCTTTGTACCCTACATACCCTACATGTACATTGTGTATGTCTGCTCTGTTGTCAGGTCTTCAGAGAGGTCTTTCCTGACCACCAACTTAAAATATCCTCCCTTTCTACATCAAGTTCTATTTTCTTCTTCACATCACCAGCACCACTTGACACTATATCACCCTTTATTTTCTCCACTATTTCCTGTATTCCTTCCCATGAAGTAAAGCTCAATCTGGGGAGGGACTTGATCCTTTTATTCCCTGCTATACCCCTAGTGCTCATTTTCAAAGTACTCACACAATGGCTGAGGGCTGATGAAGGAGACCTAGATCTTCACATGTTGTTACTATTCAATTAATGTTGAATGAACAAGTACAAAAGCTAATGAGTGAAGAGGACTGGTACCTTAGCCAAAACCCTTGTACATAATCACCTCATTATACTGGCCCTTGGTAAGCTTTCTGTTCTTCATTGTGTAGAGTAGCAACACCTTTTAGCTTTTCTCAGATTAGCACACCACTGTCTTGTTTTTTTTTTGTTGTTTTGTTTGATTTATAAATTCTTATTGTTCTGAAGGAAACGTATACTTGAAGTCAATGTATTAGGAACAGTGTGATCAAGACAGGGCTCATATATAGACTGGGGTATAACAGAGGCTTTGGTTCAGGCATCCAAACAAACAGCTGGGAAGAACAAGTGATAAAAATAGATTGTGGAGTGGTGCCTGGGTGGCTCAGTAGGTTAAGCGTCTGCCTTCACCTCAGGTAATGCTCCTGGGGTCCTGGGATGGAGCCCTCTGTTGGTTTCCCTGCTCAGTGCAGGGTCCAGACCAGAGTCTGCTTCTCCCTCTGCCTTGGCCCCTCCCTACCCTTCTTCTCTCTCAATGAATGGATAAACCTTCAAAAAAAAAAAAATGCATTGTGGAGCCCAATCCCACCATTTGTATTACTCAACTCTGCGACTTTGGGCAAATGACTTAACAATCGGTGCTGCATTTGAAAAAAAGGGTGTTATAGGGACATCTGAGTGACTCATTCAGTTAAGGATCTGTCATAATCAGCTAAAGGCATGATCCCAAGGTCCTGTGATTCAGCCCCATGTAAGGCTCCCAGCTTCTCCCTCTCCCCCTTCCCACCCCTACTCATGCTCTATTTTTCACTCTGCTCTCTCTCTCTCTCTCAAATAAATAAAAGAAATATTTTTAAAAAAAGGAAAAAGAAAAAAGGGGGTGATAAAAGTGTCACACCTCAGCATGTTTAGGAGATTCAAAATGATAACATTGGCCTGGCCCACAATTAGATTACAATAAAGTTCTCTGTCTTTATAATTATGCAGGAGAAGAAGACTCTCAACACAGATCTCTAAAATTTACCTCCCCCTTTCCTGCTGATGACTCCTATGAAATGCTTTCATTTGTCCCTTTCAATGTTGACCTTTGGATGCTGCAATAGGAGCAAGAGACCCAGGTGGACTGGGAGCTGGAGTTTTCACATCACCTGTTCCAAAGTTGTCTATTTTAGAGAGCTGATATGTCTTTTCAACTGGACAGAATTTAGAACAAAGACTGTTTTACCACTGACCTTGTTTATAAGAAGACTGCAAGATGCCTCCAGATTGGAGCACCAAGGAACAGGGTGAGGCATTTCACTTTCTCACCACCAACAGCTCACTGGTGGTCCAGGACACCACCCACAAATTTGGGTCCTGAAAAGGATTTCTGTGTTTAAGTGAAGGCCACATGGGAAAAAAATGTTAAAGCACAGTAAGAAGATAGTGAGAGTTGCTAAGTGACAGGGCTTTCCCCAGATCCTTAGAGTGATGCCCAACTACCAGAGCACCTCCTGTAAGAGCTTAGGAAGCCCCAACAGACAGAGACCATCTGACTGTTGAAGGCTGACCAGATAAAGACACCAAATCACTTCAGATCACTGGTTGGTTGGACTCACAGTTTTTAGTTTACAGATACCATACAACTCTATTTTCTCCCCCCAGACCCTAACACTTATCTCTCCTTTAACAGCCCCCTCCTTTCACATTTTGCACTACCCGGGAAATCCTTAGGCCTTTTATGAATGCCAGCTAAGCACATGATGACTCTTAGTCACTCTGGGTCAAGGCTGATAAAACCAAAGCACTAAACCTTATTCCCCTACTTCTACCTTCTCCTGAGTTCTTCCTTTCCAATAGGGAAAGGTTCTTTTGCCTGTCTCATATGGAAACAAGGAAAATTTGAAACAGAATCCACAGATATAAGTATTTGATAACTCATATTTTATTGGAAGTGTCTTCCCAAAGGGACCCATTCAAAACCCTTTGCCATTTGGATTTGTTTTTTGCTGTCTTTTGTTTGTTTGTTTGCTGTATTTGCTGTGTTAATGAAGGGTCACTGAATTGGAAAGAAAAGGCCCAGGGATTGTGAAAAGATCATGACTTCCGGAGGGAGGAGGAAGTTTGTGTAAGTCCCAGTGCTGACTACATCTGATTGATGAGATGGAAAATAAAGAGGATTAGCTTAGTGTCCATGCTCTTTTTAAGGATGGATGGTATCTGATGGAAAGAAGCCCAGATATATGGATCCTGAAAGTGTACATTCTACATGGGGAATGCATATTGAAAAACCAAGGAACAAAATTTTTTAAATGCAATGTGGCCATAGAGGACGGTCAAGAACTCCTTTCCTTTGAACATTTCACACATTTTATCCAATAAGTAGCAGCACAAAAAAAACTCACATTCTCTGTTATTGCTTCCCTTCTACCCTCCAGGAGTCCTCTCTTGAAAAGTTGAGGAGCAAGGAATACTCAGGGGATAGTGGCCAGTAGTACTCTCTCATATATC